CCATAATGTAAGAAACTTTTCGGCCTCTGAGCAAACTGTCATTTTCCTATAAAATCGAATCACTATATTAATCACGATTAGACATTTCCACAAATGACCACTATGTACACTATGCACAAACAGGACATACAAACTACATAATACAGAACAGGAGAAACTATGAATATTCATTTTCTTTGGTTATTTAGCGTCACAGCATGTTCATACTGGTGTTAAGAAAAAATACAGTATGTTGCTTTTTACAGCATTTTCAATAAATCATTAACAGTTCACAAAAATCCCAGATCAGTTGAGGATATTGTTGCTCGACAGTCGACAGCAGTAACATGAGGGATTCTGGTTTGTGAATCACAGCTTCACTCGACCTGCGGCTGTTGGACGACAGGAAGCAGAAGTCGGGGTGATCTGTGGCTCTGACAGGAAACGAACCGGTTAGCTGCCATTGCACAAAGTAAATAAACAAGAGGCCAGACACTGAGGCGGGTGGGAGGTTTTCTCAACCATCAATCCCCTCGAAAAAATAAAGTTGTCAATGCCCACCTCTGTGTCCCGCTTCATGCACGGCCCACCGTGTTCTCCAGACGCTCTATTCTCCCAGACACATCCGCCAGTGAGGTCAGTCAAGGAAACGCATTTAAAACACATGTAAAAGGTGAAAGCAGGATGACGAATGGTTCATATAGCTCCTTTAAACAAGACACACTGTTAAATTTCATTCCTACAACACCAGCAGGCTGAAGTAAGCGGCTGTCGGCTCAGTGACATGTGCAGCGGACTCTGCTTATAATAAAACGTCTCCATCTGGAACAACACAAAGGATATGCTTGGCTGTGAGCTGCTGGATGGCCGCCTGCGTCTGCTTCTGGAAGGCCAGCCTGGACTCGCATTTACAGGGATCCACCGCCACCACCTCCACCTCCACCTTCGCCACTTCACCGGGAGAAAGAAAGAGTTCACATCGGTGCAACAGATCAGGCAGCGAGAGAGAAAAAACATACGATACCACCCACTCTACGCTTTCCTTCTGGGATGATGTTCAGGAATGCACCGAAGCCAAAATGATCACAGACAATACATTTTCTAAAAGGGATCATTGATTTACAGATATAGAATCATGGATTATGCAACAGTTGGTTGTGAAGCTCAGACAATAGACTGCGTGTAAAGATGGACGACGCGTCTTCACTTCCTGCCGCTTTGCAAAAATGAAGCCAAAACATCCTGGACGTGGTGGCTGTACTAACGAGGTCCCTCCTATTCACACGCTTGAGTCATATTCTGCTGTCAATCATGGACTCCACTAACATGGAGGAGGCAGGGTTTATGACCCATACTGCAGCCAGCCACCAGGGGGCGGTCAGAATGATTTGGCATCACTTTTAGGAAGCTGTTCTATCGTCCATCTTTACACACAGTCTGTGTTAAACTGCAGGAATCCTCACTGGAAGCTCTTACGTTTCAGGGAACATGTTTTCATGTCAGCGTTCAGGATGTAACCGGCCCGACACTTGCAATAAAAGGAGGCGTTGCTGTTGACACAAATGTGTTGACACTCGTGTCCCGTGGCACAGGGGTCCAGACCTAGGATGAGACGGGATTCAGGGACGGTGCTGTCAAGATGGTAAGCATGGCAACAGGTTCATGTGTAAACATATAGCAGGTCACTCTAAGATTTCTGCCGACAAATATCAGTAAAATAAATAATTCTTGGTACGATCGTAGCTTTTCTAAAGTTTTTACACTTGACCACCTGTTCCATTCATGCAACTTCACCTCATCTGAGTCAGCGCTGTTTGAAGAAATTAGATTCACTGTGTGTTGGACAACACAAGAAATCACAGAACCCTGAGGTGCAACAGTTATGACATTTACAGCACAGAAGAAGGCAACAAGACAAACATCAGACGGTGACACGGAAAAAAATTACAACAGAATCCAAATCTCTGATATCCTAAAATGGGAAATGTCTGTTTTTTAACCTGTAGTTGAAATTATTTTACTTGTGACAAAGGATATGTGCAGATATTATCATATAAAGAGTAGAGCAGTTAAAGTTCATGTCTATCAGTTCTCTTTCTGTATCAACAGGTGTTTTGGACTCCTAAGATTCTGTTGTTAATTAAATCATCTCAAATAAACACGTAAAAAATCAAAGCAATCCATAAGATGCTTTGGTTTTAAAACAAATGACTAACAATTACCACGTATGAAAGTTTAGGGCTGCGTGGCCCCAAGACTTTGCACAGGTTTAATCTTTGTGGTTACAAGCAGGTTCTAGTGCCGACATCTGCAGTCCATGTGGGGGTTGAGAGCATGCGTTGATTTCATAGTTTATAATTCACCACAAACACTGTAAATGATCCACAAAGTGAAACAAACCCCCTGAAGACTGTAGATGCCCCTTACAGGAACTAGAACCAGGGTTAATGGTGGGAAAAGGTCTCGCAGGCCCGTCTTTGTCCTACCGCACAGCGTCTCCCTGAACTTGGAGGTGAGCTTCTCAATAACGCCGTACGTCTCCACGTAGAACACGTGGTCGTCCAGAGGGATGCTGGCCATCAGCTGCAGGGAGCGCATGTCTGCACGGTCCACCCCGACGGCGTAGATCTCGATGCCAGAGGCCCGAGCTGAAGCAGACACTTCCTCCACCTGGTCTTGGGGTCTCCCGTCCGTCACAATGATGGCCACCTTGGAGATGTTCCCCGAGCGAGGCCGGGCTCCGGACTGCTCGGTGAAGGCCTCGTTCATTGCCGTTTTGATGGCGAGGCCGGTCATGGTCCCTGCTGCCAAAGGCCCGATGCGGGAGATGGCTTTCTTCATGTCGGGTTTGTTGAAGTGGGCTTTGAGCAGGAACTCGATCTTGACGGTGCTGGCGTAGTTGACCACAGCCACTCTGGTGGCGTCTGAGCCCACGTCCAGAGTGTCCACCATGTCAGCCAGGAAGATCTTGACCTTCTCAAACTCACCAGGACGAACGCTGCGAGAGCTGTCGATGATGAAGACCAGGTCCAGGAGGCGGCTCCTGCACTGAGAGTCCGTCTCTGGTGATCAACCAAACCATGGCAGGATTAAGTCCAGTTAATACTCACAACCCAGTTCATCAGTCAGACACATTCAAGATTGTTCGTTGAACTTTCACAGAGACAAGAGTCGATAAACACAGACGACTCCGCATGATGCACAACACACGATACACAAACAGACATTGTTGTGCATCACTGCAGCAGAGAAACAACAGGTTCTGGTGAAATGATGTAATATCCGTGAGATATACTATACATCATTTCAGCGTTTCAACAATCCATCGAAGACTTCTCATTGAAATGATCTTTTCATCTTGTTTCTGTGAATGAAAAGGATGTTTGATGTTTCACACATAGAAAAGAGACATGACATCTGAAGACAGTGTTAGGATCCAGTGTTTCTACGTGTCTGTGGTTCAACAGCAGATCCTCTCAGCTTGTTCAAAAGAAAATACCACTTCAGTTTGAACTCTATAATCTATGCACCTCTATATAAATTTTAAAAAACTATTTATAAAAAACTTGTTTCATAGGAGCCTTCTTTTGTAGCTGATGTCAGCACTAATATATGAAAATGAATAGAGCGATTGGAAAAAGACATTTGGTCTGATTATCAGGTTATTTATTTTGTTTCCCACTTCCCACCCTTTGTCAAAAATTAAATTACACAATTTGTTTTTAATTAAAAATGCTTGGAAATTTGATTCCAGAGTTAATGTCTGAAAATGTTTTTGATTAGTTGTAATAGGTGGTTACACTCCTATGGGGTTTCCTCATGCTTCTAGACTTAATGCTAAGCTAATTATTCACTGTCAGTTGCTTTAAATCTAACTGAGAGACATGACAGTGGTTTCAATCTTCCAATCCAAGCCTCAGAAAGACAGAGAATGAATGTTTCTAAATGTGCCTGTTTACTCCTTATAAATTATATGACATGTTTTTTTAAGTGGCTC